ATAGATACAGTAGTTCAAAAGTCAAAAAAACCCGAATCAATATTAATGAATCTGATAATGAATAAGAAAATAACTTATGTTCAGAAATCGATATTGAAGAACAAAAGATGAAATTAGCTGAAAGGCAATTAGCATATTGTAGAGCTCAAGCTGAAATTGAAAAATTAGAATTAGAAAATATTAAATTACGTAAAGAGCTTGAAAATAATTAGAAATAAATGCATTTCATATTAATCAATAAATATTAAAGTAAATAAATAAAATACATTTTTCTTATATATTAAAAGTTTAACGAAAAAAATAGTAAAATTAATTTATCGTCGAAAATTCATACATGTATAGTTTCTAGAAAATGCAATTCTATATGTGTATGGTTTGTAAAATGATGATCTATACATGTATAGTTTTTAAAGCATACCGATACATACCATACATACATTTAAAAAAAATCATACAATACATACATTGCTAACTATACTGTAAAGGTTTGTGTAATACCCAAATTATGGCAAGGATCATCCATCTATACATACATACATAGCAAGTCATACCATACATGTATTCGTCGCACCCTATATTTAATCATAGCTGTGTTTAAGTATGTTATACAGTAATTAACTAAAATGGCTCTGTCAGAAGAGTTTAAGAAAAAGCGTGAGAGAGAGCTGGAAGAGCTGAAAGAACATGAGAAAGAGCTGAAAGAAGGCGAGAAAGTGCTGTATAGTAAAGAATGTGTTGCTTATAGTATCAACTTTGTTGTCGATGAAGCAAGTAAAGAAGTAACTATCTTGAAGCATTATGAGATATTTTCCTGCTACTTAGCAATAATACTTGCAAGAGATAAAGAATTAGTTGCAGTGTGGCTGAAAGTTTTATCAGATCACTGTAAAATTTACCTTTCTAAGAACTTCGCTTTGGAAAGTCAAGATGTTAAGTACATTGATAAAATTATGAAGTATCTGAAAGATATATCGAAAAATGCTCCTGCGTATTCAGACAGAAACAAAAGTGCTTTTGCCGAAGCTGTAACGGTATACTGCTCTGCTAAACTTGAATCTAGATATAAAAAACTTAGAGATTATATTAAAAAAAATGGTGGTAGTGAACACGTTAAATCTTTTAAGGATTTTTTTTCAGCTAATACTGATTATGCAAATAGAACAAGTATGATCATAACGGCCCATGCTTGTAACATGTATTATAAGGAAGTTAAAGATAAGAACGATGAGAAAGTTAAGTCCAGCGTCCTCTCAGAATTTTTAGAACTTATTAAGAAAGTGGGGTCTTATGCTGGGTCTATGATATATATTGTAGAATGTGCACGTAATACACAATATAGATCACTATTCTCTAATCCTATAGTGATTAAACGGAGTCCTGTTATCATAGATAACTAGCCCATATATTTGTGGAAAAATATTATCAGAGGGTTTATTGATGACGACAAATATGAAGGTTTCATGAATAGGTATTCGAAAAGACTAACGTAACGGAAAGAAAGAGTAGAGCATATACTGATAATGCCACAAAACAACAATAACCACTTGACGGCGGTGACGTTAAAAAATACGTATACTTGCATGTGGAAATGAACATATTGGTCTATATTATCGACAATAAAATTAATGGAAGGGAGTTTATAGCAGTGTCTAAAAAATGTTGTTACTTGTGTGAACTTTATATCGATTTTGCACAAAAACAAGAATATGATATTATCGTTCCTGGAAATCACAAGAAAATATATAGTGGATGGAAACTTCTGCATGTAAAGGATGACAACTTCAAGATCAGTTTCCTGAAATATATACTAGAAAATCTTAATCAGATCATAGGGCAAAAATTAGAATACTATACTAGGACAGCAGGTCCTGATAGTGGTGAAAATAGTCCAAATCCAAGTAATAATGGTGGTGGATATATGGATGCCCCTTTTAAAAAGGCTAGCAAAAAAGTTAAGAGGACTAATCCTCTTTTTGATGAATGAGGATATATTTTATCAATAAAGCATAAAGTTCAAAGCGAAACTTTATTTTTCTTGTAAATGAATATAAAGAAGTTAGTACCAACTAATAGAGTAAAATTTGAGTAGTAGACATTTAAAGTGGAAACATTTCAAGATAAAAATCATACAATTATTCGCAATTATAGTAATTAGTAATTAATTATCTAATTAAATTAAAATTACATAATTCTGCAAACTGCAATAAAATTGATATACTAAACTAACCCATAAAGATGGGAGTTTCCATACTATCTAATGATACTTTTTTGCCTACTATGCTTTCGTTTCTATTCCATATAAATATGATATAACTGTGACCAGTATATTTTAACCATTTTGGCTGTATAACAAACAGTTATACCTTACGAAGTACAGTCTGATGATCTTTTTGAGTGCAGTTATGCGAATTTTTGATGCAGACTGAATAAATTTTAATAAGACTCGGCTACCATCAGACTGAGATAACCATGCTGAGTCTTGTAATGTTGATCAATAGGACTGTTAAAATTTATATGATCTATATAATGTGTATCCAATAAATCTGCAAAAAACTCTATCGTTTTAAACATAAAAGACAAATGGGCATCACATGATCGTAATAAAATTTTTTTAGAGATGGATAAATTTTATAATATCTTCTTAAAAGACTTTAAAAGTTTATGTTTATTCCTATTGGTCCATTCAAGAAGTAGTGTACATCATTTCATGATTCAATCATAATAACCAATATCTTATAAATAAATTTATGTGGTAAATTGTCATTAAATTGTAGAAAAAATATATTAAGATTATCTTGAATAATATGAATGTAAGGAGAAAAGTCATTAACTAGTAAGGTCGTTAGAAAGAAGTTTTCACTAATAGTATTGATTAAACACGTTTATAAGATAATAGAGTAAGAGTATATTAGTATATTCTTAATTGCTTTAAAATTGTAATCAAGCTCTAAAATCGTAACTAAGCTTTATGAATCTAACCTAGGTGATATCAAAGAATTTTTTGATATACCTTAAGATGACTTATCTATAAATGAGACTATAGACATACTCATATTCAATGTGCTAAAAAAATTCTGCCTATCACTACCAGAAAAAATATACCATCACCTAATAGTAAGGCAAAAAGAATGATCATGGCTAGAATGATTCAATCCAAGCTCTTTTTAATATATAGTAGAATAAGCAGAAATTCTAATATTTCAACATCTGAAATATCTAAAACTTCTAAGGGATCTGTCAAAAATGCTAAGGGTAAGTCCTTGAAGACTATTAGTTCTAATGATAAAGTTGTTCTCTCTGAGTCACTAATCGATAAGCATAAAGTTAGTAAGCCTTCCAAATATATTAAATCTAGTAATAAAGAAGCTTCTTTCACATCACTGGCTAGACAACAGTGAGAAAAATATCTCAGAAAAAAAGTAGTCAAGCTCAGTAAAGACCTGGATATCTTTATAACTATTATTGAAAAAGATCAACTCAATTCTATTATATTTTGTGATAAAATGGAAACTGATTTACGAATATGTAGACTCTTTGTAATAGAAAGGAAGAAAACTACTAAAAAAAATTTTTTTGAATTAATGTTAAATCTGGACTTATTTTATTAAAAAAATAATATTTAGCTTATAAAGCAAAAAAAAATTTTTTTTGGTAGTTTCCTCCCTTTCTATTATAAAGAGCCTATATATTTAAGCTAAAGAGTTAGAGGATAATCTCAAAAAATATATGAATATGATAGTATAAAAAAGATTAATAAGAGAAGAAATAATCTGTTGTTCTTTTGAAAATAAGGAAGTCATATCATTCTGGCTTAATACCAATGAGAAATGAAAAAAGTAATAAGCATACTTTAGAAGAATGATATGCTTTGGTAAAAAGCGAATAAGAGTGGATTAACAAATATTAATAGGTATGGGACTTTTTATTTTTTACAACTAGGTAATATAAAATTTCAAATTATCATATAATGCTGATATTAGTACTAGATACTATTCAAGCAAATTCAAACTTAATTTTGAATAGTACTTAGGGGTATTATATTCAGAGAAAAATATTACATAAGGGAAATATTACATAATAGGAATACAATAAAAGGGTGATATTAATCATAATTGTTAATTATCATTTTACTTTCAAATTTTTAAATTTTTAACATTCTTTGAAATAAAACTATATTATATTATATAATATGAATAACACAAATTTTATGAATAATGTGAATTTTGTAGATAATGTGATCAGAATTTTATTTATTTTAATTTTGGTCTTTTTTTTGACTTTAAACCTTTTTTTTTAATTTTTTTTGTCTTTATAATCACAACATAAATTTTCCATTTCTTTACTACTTTATTATAAGTAATATAAGTCTATACATAAATAAAAATACTAACTATGCAAGAATATTAAAAAAATACAAAGAGTATGAAATGTAAGAGAAAACCTTACTATTGTTATGTATTATGAAAAGGGACATAGTAAAAATGGAATATCAGTTAAATTTAATATTAAAACTAAACAAGTTTGCGACTGGATATCTAAAAAGAACAATTTATAAAAGTATAACCTAGTTTAAAACATTTAAATAAAGGTAAACCTTCAAAATATTTAGCTTTAGAGGTAGCTTTAGTTGAGTGAATAAAGAAAAGAAAAAATAACCAAAAAGTAGTTTCTCAAAATATGATTCGAGTAAAAGCAAATCTTTAGCACAACAACTATAATAACAAGCTTTCTGTTCTAATATATAATCTTTGCTTTTAGTAATAAATAGTTGAATGGTTTAATGGGTTATAATAATTTAAGTAATTATTGTCATACTACTATTGCTTAACATTTACCAAATAATTTATATGAAAAATAATAAGAATTTTTAGCATTTGTTATATATAGGTAAATACAATATAGTTATCCTTTAGCATTTATTAGTAATATGAATAAAACTCCATTAATATTTGATTTATCAAATAATACTACTGTTAATGAAATGTAAGCAAAATCTAATAGTATTCGTATAACAGGTTATGAAAAAACTAATTTTATAATAGTTTTAACCTGTATGACAAATGAAACTAAACTTCCTCCTCTTGTAATTTTTAAACTTAAAAAAATTCTAAAAGAAATTTTTCATAAGAAATTATTGTTCATATTAATCTAACTAGATAGATGAATGAAAATAAAATATTATATTAGATTAAAAATGTTTAGATTAAACATG